TCTCTCCTCTCTCCTCTCTCCTCTCCCTCTCTTTCACTCTTCCCCTTACCCAAAATCCACTCCTGTGTGTTTATACTGGAAGATAAGAGACTACCTTAAAAAAAATCTATGCCAAGTGTGTGCTTTACTGATAAAACTTTTCAGTTTTTGCAGACCCTCTGACTGCTGTTGTTCCTTTTCAACCGTGGGTATGTGCAGATTTTGGCTGCTCCCTTCCCCTTAGGGGTGGGATGCCACAGCAGGGTGTATGGATATTTTTTAGTGTTTTATTTTTAGCTGGGAAGTTGTGCAATATAAAGGCAAACATTTCAGGAAAGATTGCTGCACCTAGCACTAGGTTTTCCAGGTAAAACAGTAATATAAAGAACAAAATTGAGGTTCTTTGGCAAGGTCTATTTTCCAGACACAGTTTTGATTGGCATTAATTATATTTCCAGCCTTTGCCAAGGGAATCTCTTACGAGGTTTTCCATTATTTTGCGTGGGAGTGACAGATGCAGGGTGTCCAGCCTCACTCAATATTATCTCCCGTATCGTCTCTCCATCTTCTGGAATTTCAGTGCAGTGGAATGATTTATTAACATTCACAGCAACTTATCAGCTGCTCCCCTGCCAGATCCATCAGAGTCTCCTGAAAGTTGCCTGAACTGGCTGATCATGAAAAGGGGGGGTGTTGGTAGGCTTGGTTCTGTTTTCCTTCATTCACTAAACCACTTATAAAATGTGCTGTCACCACTAAAAATACGTAAATAGCCCCTTGTAAATTTGCAGGACAGATGTGTTTGGAAGCACTCTTGATATTCTGTGATATTGTTCATAATTTATCCCTGTCTCCTGCAAAGGTTTCTACTACTAATAGACACTGCTTACAATGGCTTTTACCCTCATGTCATCAGCTTCTCTTGTCAGTTAATCTCAGAATTTCTTGCTCATAGAAGTTGCTCTTTATTTTCATTTCTTAAAGTTTTAAGTTTTCCTAATTTTTATTTTGGCTTGGGGTTTTTTTTTGTTGTTTGTTTTTTTTCTCATCTATGAGATGAGTGTTCAGTTTATTCTTATTTGATCTTGACTTGGAGAGTTTTTCAGACTTTGAATCTATATGCTAAAAGAAAATTTGACTTCTCCATCCCTATTTTTTATTCCTGCCTCTGTTGGCTCATCATTTCCTTCAGCACTGGTAAATCTGTTGCAAGACTAAGTGAAAATATTGCTGCTTAGGCCTGTCCTCTATTTATGTTGCATATAATCAGGCTGTGACCTCTGGTGCCTTAGCAACCATCATTTTCTAGTGATTTCAATTCCAGTGATTAATTCATTTTTAGTCATCATACCCAGATCCCTAAAAGAGTTATCTTGCATTCTGTGTGGCACATTTTCTCTGAAAATTCAGGGTATTCTGGATGGTGTTAAATGAACAGCAGAGGAGCAGACACCAAGAAAGAAACTCTCTATGTTTAAATCATCACTTCACAGAGAAAAATAAAAATGGGAAGAAATGGGGAGGTTTGAAGCTCTCAAAAAGAGTGCTTAGAATAGAAGCAAACCCAGCAGAAATACAGCACAAATAAATCAAATCTTCTCCTCAACTGGCTCACACATCAGTTCAGGGAGGTGCACAAAAACACTTTAGCAAGAAGTATTTAATAAAGATGGTCCCAAAACATCTGGAAAGGCTTTTCAGTTCAGCAAGCTATTGGGACGTGAATGTGTATTTATTTGTCTGCCTCTAAGCATTTCCAAAGAGCAAACACTAAAGAGTCCATTCTAAGACAAAATCCATCTGTTTCTCCAACAGTTTTAAAAAACAGTTTACTTTCTCTAAAATTAACTTGTCTGACACATTGTCATGCTTGGTTACCATGGCAACAGCAGCAACAGCCATGCCACAGGATATTCATTTTATCTGAATTTTTACCACCTAACTTTTTACTTGTATGTATGTAGATGTGTGTGCATGAAATTCAGAGTTCTGCACCAAGCTCCCAGCCAGCTGAAAATACCCTTTTTTTTCACTGACAGACCTCAATAAAAGCACCCATACCAATATTTCAATCCCAAGATTTACTTTTTTATCTAGATGCATCCAGCAGTGCTCTTAGTTCTTTATAAACAAAATGTGCAAGGGTTTTTCCTGCTGAACCCCCAGATTCAGGGGGTTTGACACCCCGGTTCTGACACCCCCACAGCCCTCTGAGCAGGAGCACGGGGCTGAGGAGGTGGGAAAACATTTTTGTGACACCACAGCAGCACAGATCTGGGCTATAAGGGCATTTTTACCAGTGTTTTCTCATTTCCTGCTATGGAATTTGTTCTATCGAGGCCTGATTTTTAACAGGAGCTCAGAGGCTTTCCCATTATAACATCACCGTGGATTATTTACATTATAACATTACCTGCCTTAAAAATAGGTGTGAGATCTTTCCTTGTCCTCCCTTCCCCCTGGAATTTCACCACCTGCCATCCACAGCAAAGCAAACCCACACTGATCTTCTCCTGGTCATTTTATAGAGCTGGAGATTGCAACACAGGCAAAACAAGGAAAAAAATAAAAATCTGCCATCATTTGTAAAGCTTTGTAAAGGTGAGCTTAAAATTTCATTTAAGATGACAGAGAAGTAAAGGGTATATTCAGCTTTGGTCTTTCAAAGCTGCCTGTCTGTTGGATGGCCCTAGAAAGCCTCAGCCTGTGAGAACTGGAGTTAAAAAGAAAAAAATCAGTAAGAAGGAATTATGCTGGCAGTATCATAATTGATAATTATTTGAAAGATCTCTTCCTTGCCCAGCAAGAGTGCAAAGCAAAGAAAGAGAATGACTTGGGCAACGTGCCTGCCTCAGAAGAAGTGACTGGAAAAGACCCTTAGATCCCATGAAACACTATCCATCAGAACTTGGGGAGCCTGCCAGTGATGTGCCAGGTGTGAAAGAACACCTTGTGCATATTTACAGTGATGTTAAATAAATGCTTTTATAGCTTGCATGTTCTAATGGATGCTTCTTCCTTGGTCGTGTGTATTTTTTGTGGATTAGATCAATTTTATCAAGGACCGGGAGGTTGATGCAGGCTACCAAAATGAAAAAGTGAATAAAAAAACCAACAAAAAAGCATTGTTTTGTTCCATTTACTGATCAAACCTCTGCCTACAACAAAATTACTGAGAAGCCCCACCCTCACAAAGGGTTTATCCTCTTTTCCAGTCCTTTGTGCTCTGTGAAGGATGTCCAGGAGGAAAATTGTTAGATGTCAACTGGGACGCCACCAAAACGCAGAACGAGCGTAAAACGGAATAAATCCTGTTCTTATAGCGAGCCAACACAAGAGGGTGGTAGAAGCATGTCAGGAAAGCTTTTGGCTGTCATGGAAACGTGTGAGGATGGGGAGCTGCCGCTGCATCCCCTGCTTTGGAGCTGTCAGAGGCACCGCTGAGCGCTCCAGGTGGGATCCACGCCAAGCATCCTCCGGGACGGGCAGGGATGGAGCTCTGGCCGGGTGGGGACCAGGCAGAGCAGCCCAAGCAGCCAGGTAATGAATAAAAAGGAAAATAAGCACAGGCAGGGTGTTACAGACGGGGTGCATGGCTTGTAGGAGTGATTTAAAGGGAGGGCTGCCCACTTCCAGCACAGGCGGGTTGGGAAGCGCCTCCCTGGGATGCTCAGCCAGCACTAAATGACAGCTTGGGTGCTCTCTGCCACTACAGCTGGCAACACCCATGGCTCTTGCTCCATGGGATCCAGTTGGTCCCTTCTGGAACCAGACTGGAGCAGGACCAGGAATTCAAGTGTCCCAGATCACCCAGGCAGCTGTTGTTACAGCTGGATCCCCTGAGTGCCTGTTCCCTGCTCCGGAAATCAGGGACAACCTGCTTTTTAACATCTCCTACATCCCAGCTGTGCTGAGCCACGTTTTGAAATGTTGTCTGGCTCCCCTTGAAATTAAATATTGTCCTTTCAAATCCCAGTTCTGGTCACAAGACTTTTCCTGTAATGTAAATGGTGGGTGCCTTATGCCAGTGAGATAATTCTTGGATGTCCCAAAGGATGTCACGTTGCCACTGGAGACAGAAACAACGTTGAGTCACCACAAATTGTGTTGAATTTTAATATAGCAGACAAGGGGGAGGTTGGGTGCTGGGATTAAAGTCTGTAGCCAGTGCTGTTTTCCTAAAAAAACAAATTCTGCTTGATCTGTGTGAGAAAAGATGGAACTCAGCTGGCAGAAGGGAGCACAGTTCTACTGCTGACAGCAGAACTCCCCTGTCCTGCACAGCCTGGGATCAGCCCATCAACCTTTCCCACATCCCAAATCAGAAGAACATTTGAAAATGCAGTTGTAATTTTATGCTTGAGAACTTTTTCCAGCTGGGAGCCTGTCTCAGTAGTTTTCTGTTCTCGACTTAAGCAGTAGAAGAACTGCAAATCGATTTTATCAGGATGTAATTAAATTTGTGCTGTGACCTGCAATGCAGTGTAACCCACACGAGTGAAATCTCTGAGTGCAGGGGGAGAGCATGGACATGAGGATTTGTTACTGGGACCTTCTTGCAATCAACAGGGCCCAGCCTGTCTTTCTAATTTATTCAGGATAGTCCTGGGCAAATGAAATTACTTCTCTGCCTGCAGCCTGTCCACTTCACCCTGACCACATGAGGCAGATTAAATAATGGATCCAGAACCCCAAATAATCTACACCAACCTCAAAGTTCAGACTGGGATTCCCAAGGGAAGTTCTTCAGTGTCAGGACAAATACCAGCACTTCTCCCCATGGCAGCATCTCCTTCCCCCATAAAAACTCAGTGACAAATCAATGGATGCTGTGAATTCTCTGGAACAGAGATTTTGATTTTTCAGTGCATGCCATTGACTCCTGACTATTTGCAGCAGTAATTAGCTTAATTGTCATCACTGCAGCATTAAGCAGACACTTTAAATGTGAAAATAGGGATTTTATTTTTTTAAAAAATTCTGTATTATAACTGAATTCAAACATGACAGGTGTTCAGTATAATTCACCTTGATGTGAAAGCAGCAGCCAGTCTGATTTCAATGCCACAGTCTGATTTCAATGCCAAACTCACTGAATTCATGTCCTTATGCTTTTTGTTCACTTTCTTTTCAGAATTCAGACCACTTCACAATTGTCTGCACTTCCTTTGGGAAGAAACTTCATTTCCAGAGAGGGAAAAGAAGATTCTAATCACTATGCTCACCTTGGAGTGCTGAGGATATTTCCAATCACCTGAGCCACTGGAAACATTTGGCAACTTGAAAATCAAGGCTGGTGGCCTGGGGTGGATTCCATAGTGTGTGGAAAGATCAGGGTCCAGTGAAAGTCTTTTCCAGCCTGAAGAGTTCTGAGATTCTATAAATGCATGTGGGACTCAGCTGCCCCTGGCTAACCACAGCTCTCTGAAACTTTCATCAAGGGCTGGTGCTACTGCAAAATTTAGTGCCAAAGCCAACAGCAGGAATTGTGGGGTCACTGGGGTGGATGGGCACCTGCTGACAGGGAGGGGGTGCTTAATCCTAAAGCTTTTTCCATGGGGCACCTTTGGATATGTGACAGCTACAGAGAGAACCTGTATTACATTACAGTAATGTAATTTATATTGTATTCAACCAATAAAAGAGATATAAGAATAAGAAACTCTACAAATGAACATTAATGCATTGAGTGATTCAGTACAATGATTTATTACAATATTTATAATATCCATAAATGATTTTAAAAAATAGTCGTGTCTCATGTAGATCATTGATTTCACCCTAATCCCTACAAAGCGTTTGGAATTTCCACAGCATTCCAAGGGGAAAATATGGTATTGAAAAGCTGAAAGATTGTTTTCCAGCAGAGCTTCTACTCTTAGTCCCTGCTAACCAAAGAAAATTTGATTTGGAAAGGTGTCCATAAACTGGAAACTGGCAAGGACGTTTGTATGGTACCTAAAGCAAACATTTTCAAATTGTAATGCTGTATTATCTGCTTCAGCATGGATTTCACTGCCCAGTTCCAGGCATTTCACTTTGAAAGCATTAGCTGAAATGTAGAAAGCACAGTCCCAAGCATGGTTAATGAAGAA